ACAGAAAAAAGAATTTAGAAGTGGATATTAAAGTGAAAACAGATTTGACATGTCTTGTACCCATAACATCCAATTATCAATTACATATAAAAAGACAGAGGAATCTTTAAGTTTTGATTCATAAGACCATTCATAACATGATAGAAAATATTTATCAAAGCCAAGAATTTGAAATTCACCAATTTCTAGATCATTAAATTCTGATTCGCTTACAATTATGTAGATTCTTTTTATAAATGTTACATTAGAAAATTCAATTTCATTCCAACCATTTGTAAAGTTATGCTCTAAAACATAATCTTCTGTATCATCTAAAAATGTTAATGTAAAATTCAGTTTTTCGTGTCCATTACGTAATTTCAGGAAACGTAACATATGCAATTTAAAATGTTCTCCACTTTGAATTCGAAACCATATTTTAATTTGACTTATATTTTGTCTACTAGCATCAGTCTTATATTTAAAGGACGTGTCATCAAATAAATTGCCAAATTTATACATTCCCAAGTGTACTGAACCACTTACATCAACATACCTGTGTGGTGAAAGAAGATTTACATAATCTTCATAAAATCCAGAGATTAGTGGTACAAATAGTAGTATCGCACTAAAAGATATTTTTGTCATATACATTTATTTTTTCTTCAATTTCTTCAAAGGACAATTTTCCAACTAATAAACAGTTTTCTAATATATTGATAATCAATGGTTCAATTCTTCTAGGAATGATTAACAAGTTGAGTATTTATTATTTATGACAAAACATGTATGTTTAATAGATGTTTATATTTATTTTATTGACCTAATTTCAGTATATAGACATAGAATTATAGTTTCATATATTTCTCTCAGCCTATCTCATTTTTAAATAATTAATGATGCGTGTACACTTATAAACTACATCTTTTGAAAATTGTATATTTTTTTGTTACTATATCATAAGATCATTAGAGTAAACATGTGATATTGATCAGCATAAACAAGTACATAACTGAGCTAGTTGCTTATAATACTATTGCATAATAAGTGTGTGGTCCTGATGAGCCTTATCTAGGAATTAGATCCCTGTGGTTCAATGCCTGTAGTGCATGATGAGAGAATGTATATAAACCAGGGTGTAATTAGGAAAGGTGGTCAGAAAGACTTGATACAACCTCTGTGAACCAAGTTGTAAAACTGGCTTCATATTCCTCTCACTATCAATCCTACACCTTTAGCTATCTCACTCATACTTTGGTTCTTATTGGACCCTTACTTACTTATAAACCCTAAATAAGAGAGTACTGTGATTGTTAATATAAAATTTGATTATTTAAATATCCATCTGTTTTAAAGAAAGCTTCTTTTTACTTTCTTTATTAAGTTTGAAAAGAAAAACTGGTTTGATATGAAGAAAACATTTAATGTTCTATTTTCTATGCCCTATCCTCAATTTGCGCTATGTAAAATATGCTGAGTCATATATTGGTTAACAAATTTTATAATTAAATTTTTCTACAATTGACCTTCACCTTTGAATTGATAAAATGTTAGAGATTATAAAAATCTATTATTATCAACTTATGAAATAAAAATATCAATGTTCAAAGGTGATAAGAAATTTCTTAAGAGTTCAGTATCCTCTAAATTTGATAAACTAAATTTATTTAATATTTTAAGATGAAACATAAAACAAAGCAATTGATGTCAATTTCCAATTATCACTATATAGACTATGACTGGTTTCTATTGATAGACTGTCTCCCTGTTCCAATTTTAATAATCCTCCTCTGCTCATAATCTCAGTAGCTGCTCTACTCCTTAGCCTTTGCATACCTAATTTTTGTTCATTATTTACCATAATATATACTACGCATTGTGAAAATGGCCATGTTCCAACAGATATATCAATATAATATAAACCGGAAATGGAAACTTTATAAGAATTTTCTATAGAATTCCAACCAGAATTTGTATCATAAACAATTTGTTGATAGGCAATTTTAACCCTTTGAGTTGTTTGTAAATTTTCTGTTCTATAGGCATAAAATGCTGGACGTTGTTCAGTAGCATTGAGTTTAAATCCTGATATATAAGTATACAATGATGTTGATCTTACAGATCCTTCTATCAATTTTAAAGATAATCTGTCATTTTCCTCCAAATGGAGCATTATCCCTCTTGATGCTTGATTGTGTTCTCTAATAGAGTTGCTTTTAACTATCATTCTCTCTTTCGATATTGTTTCACCATTGATTGTTAAGCTGACTAAGCATTTTCTAAAACTGTAGAATCCACTTCCAAAATTAATGAAATACCATCCTTTTGATGATGCAATTATTTCAGTCATTTGAGTATTCATTGATGCACCTCTTAAAGTAACAATCCTTTGAAATGTAATTGGTTGTCCATTTTGGAAAAAATCTGTATATCTACCAACAAAAAATACATTTTCAGAATTGTAATGAAAACCTGTCCAAGATGTTTCGAAACCTCTTTCACTGCTTACTGTATGAGTTTCTAATTCATGAGAAATATAAGGTTGATTGAGAGGTGTAAATATATATATTCCAGCTGAACTGAATGTATCTCTGTGATAACTTTTTCCTTGATAGAGGATATTATCAACACCAACATTTCTAAGTTGTGCTAAATAGCTTATTGATGAAGCTGTTGATGTTGTTCCAGTATATGATAGATAGTAAAATCCATTTTTAGTTATATTCAGTGAATTTGTTGCAGTGTTGAATAAATCTCCATTATCATAATTTACTTTATGCCATTCAAGTTTCCCTCTTCTAATTTGTGTTGTTCTTGTTAAAGATACCATAAATGAAGGATTTTTATAAAGATTACAAGGAGGGTTTAAACACAATTCTAAATCTACTGAATTACCAGGACATTCTGCTCCTCCATTGGATGGTGGAGGATTTGAACAACTTCTTGTTCTTGTTTTTAAACCATCACCACAATTTGGATCACATCCGCTCCATTCAGACCATTCGGACCATCCTCCTGGTATAGGACACTTAGACTCTTCAGCAGTAACACATATTCTAGTTGTACAATCACGAACATTCAATGTTGGACTAAAGAAGTAACCAGATGGACATTGCTGTGGCCAAGCAACTCCATTGTAACAATGATAGTATTGCCTACAGTCATTTTGGTTAGGAAATGTTCCATTTTGTCCTCCTTCACAGTCATCATTCTTTAGATAACAAGACTGTTGAGGTGTAATTAGAGTATCATCATCCATAGAACACTCTGAAGGGTAATCTGACTTAACAATCATGGATGAATTTCCACCAGGACAATCCGCCTCCTCAGGCTCAACACACATAGAATATTTACAATTTGTTAATGAGATCGTGAAGAAGAGTCCAGGAGGACATTGTTGAGGATGGGCTGTACCATTAATACAATGATAGTAAGTACCACAATACTCAGGATCCGGATAAGAACCATCAATTGGTCTTAATTCAGAATTAAGAGGGCAAACAAACTGCGAAAAATTCCATTCAACCAGTGATAAAACTGTAACAAAAATGAATTAAAAATTGATTATAGACTGAAAAAGAAATAAAAAAAATCTAGTTACAAAATAAAAGAGAAAATATGAATTTCATTTTTCTTTGTTACAACTACTTTTTACACTTTTGAAATGAAGCAGAATTTCCTCTTTTATTTCAAAAGATAAGATTTTTTTTCAGATAAGACTTTTTCTATCAATCCATTGATGTTGAAAATTCACAAAAAATAAATAGATTTCCTTGACCTTAGTTATACTATATTTTTAAATGACATGTACTTTATCAAAGAATAATGATAAATAAAGATTAGGATACTACTCAGTTGAGCAATTTATGCATTTTGCAAGTTACAGCAAAAGTACTGGCTCTACCTGAACCTTTAATTTAAATGCTTTATTCATAAATATAATATTTAAGCAAACGATATGAAAGTTGAATAGCAGAATAGATAGTTCATAACAGTAGGTTGTCAAATTACAAAATATCCCTAAAGTTCTGAGGCAGACAGACAGACAGACAGACAGAGACAGATGATCATCCAGAGGGCCTTTAAGATTATCAGTCTGTAATCTTCTGCTTCTTCAATTAGAGCTAGAACAATTTCCAAGCAAATTTGTCATATTTGCACTTTGCTTTTCATGTAAATGATATCCAACATTTACATTTAAATATCTTAAATCTATGAATATACCGAATGTTTAAATATTTTCATAGTGTAAGATTTCGACTGAGTCTGATTTCAACCTAACCCATAGAAAAAATATATTGACATCTCACATCTACTTTTCAGGTTAAATAACATTTATCTGCCTTTCCTAGATTAAAATCTTTTCTCCATTTTCAAAAAATCTTTCTGCAGAAATTCATCAAATAAAAAAGTTTTGTTCTAATTGAGATTATGCAAAGTTCCACTTAAATTTTGAATTTAGACTATAATATTTTAGATATGTTATATAATAGTCATTCATATTCAAAAGAATATTTGTTACATGCAAGCCTTTGACTAATTGAAACCAAGCTCGGTTCATATATAAAAGGAGAGGCCACTTCAAAGCTTGTCAGTCTCCAATCTCTAACTGTAGACTAAACTGTACTGTTAAATTATAACTTATTTACTTAATACATTTTTGTGAGTACTTTGCCAAATTTGTAAATGATTGGAAAGGAATTATACTGCTTTGAAAAGTCAGAAATTGTTACAATTATAATACAATAAAGTACATATACACCATAAAATGATGAGATTGGAAATACATTCTCTCAATCATCAATGTATTTTTTGAATGCTCTCTAAGATTTTAATGTTAGGTCACATTAGGTGAGACATCTGGCAAAAAAAACAAATGTCACAAACACAATGACAATGGCTAGGCAAAGGATAGAGTAAGGAACCATAGATATGTTTTTCATTGCTTTCTTATTACATTCTTTTTTTAGCCAAATTACAATTTAAGCTTAATTGAATCTCACATCAGAAAGATGATACTCTTAGTAAATGTATTTGGAGAGTTCATCTTTAGAAATTAAATGTCTGAGAAGAATAAACCAGCAATTCTTTTCATATCTAGTCTTCTTAATTGCTTGTACATACTCATCAATAATCTGAAAAACAACTCTGGTATCACTCTGAGCAGATGGAAAAACTTTAAAAGATTTTTTTGCAATATCTCCAATTATTCCGCCATAGTTCTTTGCTGCTGTTTTGACACTATCAAACAGAACATTCAAGAATGGGCCATTTAAATGAATTGTTTTCTCTTAATACAGTAATTGTTAGTGTTTTAGGATGGTTTTTAAAAGTAATTTGAATAGAATTTTGAGATAACAGAAAAGAATATTGTCCAAATTCACTGGCTTTTTTAATTTGATTATGATTATTCCATTCAATAATATCATCTGGAAAAATTATCACATACGTTTTAATCTTTATAACTTGATTATCGACAGTTATCCTGATCTCATGGATATAATAATCATCTTTAAGAATTCCTTTGACCTTGACCTTTAAGATTGGATCATATAGAATAAAAATTGATTGGTCAGATTTACCAACAACATCATAACAAATATGATGTAGCTGTCCAGTTTTTGAATCCACAATAGATTGGTGTAAATGTGGATCACCTTGGGAACCTATTTTAAAGTAGGATTACTAAAAAACAAATGGTATAAAACAACATTGAATACTCAACCTTGATTAGGACAATCATTTTCAGCTTCTAATTGAAGCTCCATTACTAACAATAATATCACCAGACCAATTTATAAAAGAATAAATATTTGGTGTGAGTGTTTTTACAAAGACAACACCATCAATTATATCACTTTGTTGAAAATCTGCTGGATCAGTATGATACTTGACAGCTGTGAAAAGGTTGTTATAAAGTTGATTGTCAGAATTTTAAGCTAAAGTTTAATACACACCGTCTGATAAGATAAATGTGCTTGGAGTATCGACAGGGTCATCAAAATAATATGAATTTTCTTGAACAGCTCTCTTTACTGGTCTATCAGTATAATGAACTTTCAAAAAAGCATTTGGTTGTAATGTACCAGCTAAATTTGTTGGATAATATACTTTTTTAGTACCTTTATTCACCTAATATCTCATATAGGTAAATGGGGGTTAAATCTATTAAGTTTGATCCAGAATTTGTAATCTCAACATAATTGTCTGCAAAATTTATTACACTTATCAAAAGTGTCTGCATTGAATTTTGCAGTAGAGTTAAATTTGTTAAAATTACAAAAAGTTTCTGCATTATTTGCCAAGAAACCAACTTTGCCTTCCACCAGCTGTATTCAATCTAATTTATATTTAGATTTCTGATGTTATTTTATGCTATAAAAAATCTGGCCTAGTCTTTTTCTATTAAAAAAGTATAAAGGGCTGTAAATGATTTTTTATATATTACCATGAAAAATATATAGGTATATTCTATATATTGCTCTTCGTAATTGACACAAAAACAAAGTATGTCTTTTGAAAGATTGAAATTTCTTAGAGTTTTTTTTCAAATGAGATCTATTTTAGTTTTTTCAAAAAGCTTAAAATGTTGAGTCTTTTTCTTGTGAGCAAAAACATTATTCTGTAAGTTCTGTAATTTTACTGCTCTATGTAAACTTTCAGTAGGTTTATTAAAGTTTTCTGTTTGTTTACATTGCAGTTTCAGTTCATTATAGAAAGAAAAAAAACACCACTTACTAATTAGTATCTGATTAGTAGACGAGTTGTTAGTGTTTAATATCCAAATTTGAAATATTAAGAAAATATTATTAATAAAAAGTGAAAGTTATTTTTTAAAAAGATTATTCTAGGTTTTTTATCCACCAATTACAAAGTATATCACTATTGCAGAAATTCTATTGATGATCATTGATTTAAAAGAGAATTGAATTTGGCCAACTTTTTTCAAATCATTTCGCTGAAGATTGAGTATTAGACAACATTTGATGTTCCAAAATGTCAGTAACTGTTGACCTTGACGAGTTGTGCAAATGGCCAGGACCAATTCGTGATAGGTCAATCATACTTGGCAGCTAGCCAAAAATTTAAAACACTGATGAGATTAAAACACATACTTAGCATTTTTTGATTGATTAGTTATAGACAGTCCTACTTGTACAGAAAGTTTATACTTTATGGGGGTCTCTTGAAACTTGTTTTGGTCAAACTTATAAAACCTAATCAGAAATAGGGAGAGTCAAAAAATGTATTATCCGATTGTAAAAATCGAGAATCAGCAGTATGGCTCATTCTAAGTTTTTCAATATAAAACATACTCCATTTTGATTTTTTAAGAATGGAAAGAGTAAAAATTCCAAAAAAAAATTTTTAATTTTTAAGTGTAACATTGAGAAATGGCCATAACCGGGAAAAATAGCACAAATGTTTCAGTTCTTGCTAAAATTTTCTACAATTGCAAATCAACATACAAGCTGGTGTTTCAACAAAGGAGATAATGTTATTTAAAGTATGGACAGTTATAGAAATCTTTTTATAGTTTGTATTCTTTCAAAAATTTCTTTCCAGTTATTTTATCTATTCAAAATAGCATTTCAAAATATTTGTTAAATCGATATCTTACATATCTGCTGGTTGATCCATTGAGCAGTTAAATGAAAACATTTGACTAGGTGATCTGAATGCTCATCATCATTCAATAAAGTTACCATAAAATTCTCAAGTATTCCTTCTGCTTCTTTTCAAATATAAAAATTCTAAATATCTCAATTCTGAGCAACACTATTCTAGAAAGTATCAGAAAGAATTTCTTGCCTAACTTTCCATAGAAAAAACTTTTAAGGCTAACAACTAGTAAGAAAATATATTATACTTTCATAGGCTTAGTAGAAGGTCAAAGCTCTGAAGAAATTTAGATTAGAGTACAGACAGAACACTGTCAAATTTGTGTCTCTTAAAAAGCTATGCTAGAAAAAACAACAAAAAGTTTCTGCATTATTTGCTAAGAAACCAACTTTGCCTTCCACCAGCTGTATTCAATCTAATTTATATTTAGATTACTAAAACTGCTATCATTTATATCTCAAATTTTTAAAAAAATCTTTCTCAAAACATTAAAGTTAAAAATAGACTTGGCAAATTAAAACAATATTTATACAAAATTCGTTTTTGAAAGTTTGATAAGAAACTTTGGATGTGGCTTAAATGTCACTATGCAAAAGATGGATAAAAGAACAGCCGAAAAAAGACTATGAAATAGTAGAGTTTGAACAAGTTCCATGTAAATTAAATGCTACTATCTAATTTATTCAATAAATGAAATATCGGGGTCGACAGAAAACGTCCACAAATGAGAAATTTCAAGACAAAAATTTGGATTGAGAAATGGCTAGGCAAAAGAAAACAGTAACTGATTTGCAGTTAGGAGGGTCTCCTCTAAGGGTTAGGGGTAATGAAAAAGGTTAGGTACAGCTAAGGGCTGGGTTAGGGTTAGGGTAAAAGCACTCATTTGTGGACGTTTTCTGTCGTATCCGAAACATTATATTGTACACTTTTATATCACAAGAATAATAAAGATTTTCACTTTACTTTGAAATCACCCACAGTTCTGTGGTTTTACTCTAACCCTAACCCAGCCCTAGACTAAGCTTCATTGTTCCTAACCCTTAGTTTGGACCCACCTAATTACAAATCAATTGTTGGAATATTTTTCCTAACCCTTTCCCAACCCAAATTCTCACCCCAAAATAACTGCAAAATGGGCGTTTTCCATTCCTCAGTCAGGAAATATTGATTATTTTATAGAAAGAATCTATCAAAGTGATCATTCATTCATCACTAATATTTACTGCAAATATTTAGCAATACATTCTGAGTACATAATAAATGTCAGCTCTCTTCAATTCTTCCCTCTTTGTTTGTTTACCATTTCATTACAGGTGAGTGTTAATCAGACACGGTAAATTAAAATCAGACATTGGTAACATGGGAAATGATTGCAAATGATTCAGAATAAAAGTAGCATGTGATAAAAATAATTCAGAAGAGTCTTAATATTATATATGTATTTTATAAAATCAATTACAATTTACAAACATTCCAACTGTTGTCAGTCATCATCTGGTGACATAATAAAAATTTTTTGTCAATTTAGGCATTTATACACATATTTTAACATGCTGGTGGTGCTCTCTATCAGTTAAAATATGGCGCCACTTATCTCACAATCAGATACATCGTAGAGGCTTAGCTTTTTTAATGGAATAACATTTGCTCTAAAACTGATCGTAATACAATGATAGCAGTTTTTCTATATTTAAAATTAATGAGTAACCTAGAGTCAACAGTACAAATTGTTTTTGTATAGAAACTAGATGAGGAAAAGATCCTATCAACACCATAAATAATTTATTATTACATATTCTCTTCTTTCTTCAATTACCTCTTTCACTCAGCTCTATGCACCAAGTGAATTGCACAATTTTTAGAAATTATTCAAAATTTGAAATGAATTATTTGAATACTAGATTTATCATTCTCATCTACTTTACTCAATTTTGTTGTTATATTACTGATAGTGTTAAATTAACAGGACAGTTAATCAATGTTGCAACTTTAGACAATGGAGCAAATTGCTCTTCGAATGATGTTAGAAAAACTGTACACGATACAACGTTCTATTGCAAAAATGCTCTAGTTTCACCTTGGGTGAATATCAATTCATGGATGACAGTATGTTCAAGCTCTTCCTGTAATTCTGATACTATAAATATTTCGTTTAGAAAAAGTTTTGATATTATTCAACTTTGTCTTACAAAAGGATTTTTAAAAACAACAATGAATCCACAAAATTTAAAAATTAAATTTCCTGGAAATTCGAACTTTTTTATATATCCAGATTCAAGTACTCACAGTCAATGCTTTCTATTGGAAGAGAATATTGGTTTAGGAGCAACGTCAGTAGAGATACAAGTTGTTGAAACCCCACCAATTCAAAACAAAGGTTTCAGTGGTATTTTTCTTTATGCTTACTCGGGTATTTTATTTCAAATAATCAAATTAACACAAAAAAACAACAACAACAAAAATACTTTTAATTCACCTGATAGATACCGAAAACTACAATGATGAATTTCTTGTAAATGTTGCCGATTCTTCAAAAGGTGCAATTTGTGAAGCCAGTAAAGGTGTCTCTAAATCAAGAGATTGTAATCTTACATTAGATCTTATCAGTGGTCAGTTTTTGTCTCATCAAGAATGGATGAGTAATTGTCTAGGTCTAAGGTGTATTGGTGTATATATGTTGGTTAAATTCTCTACAGCTGTAGTACCTGTAAAATATTGTTTAGGAAATAGGTAAAATATCATATTTAACCTTGTTTTATCAAGAAAGTAAATGAATAGAGGACACTTTTCAGACAGGGGGCTAATAAAAGATTATTTTCACAAGTAAGAGTTGATTGGAGCTCTGGTTCATCTATCATTTTAGACTTTCCCAAAGACAGACATTTAAAATGCTTTAGTTATATTGATGAGTTTATAGAACAATGGATTAATGTTACAGTTCTGAATATTCATAGTGATACCCAAAAATATGTTGGTTTTCAAGCCATTCAAGTTTATTCAACAGGTTTAATTCATTCATAAATTTAAATTAAGCAAAATCCTTATCTATTATTCATTCATTATTATGTCTTCTAGGTGATTCAACAAGAGTGTTTAGTATTCAAAAACTCACACCAGTATTTTATTATCTACCACAATATTATCATTTCAATATTAAAGCATTAAGATTTAGTATTTTTGGAAAAAATACTAATAATCAGACTTCTTGTGGACTATTTACCTTGACCTTAAATTCTGATTCCGGAATATATGTTTCAGTCTTTTTTGATTATACTGTCCAATTTCCAAGGATATTTTCTTACAGCCCTTTATTTTTTTTATCAGTAAAACATACAGACACAAAAATATAAACAGATGAGATTAGTATTGACACTTTGAGGCTATTTACTAGTCAACTAAAAAGTAAAGTTTGAAGTTCTCTATTAAAAATTACACACTAGAAGACAATGACCCCGACCAGTAAACACATTAAAAAATTGAGCAATACTATGGCAATTTAATGATTTACATTGATTGATTTATTGATTGATTCAGGTTGACTTTTGAAATTTATTTTCAACTTTCTTTAAAATACAGTTAACAGACAATGGTCATAGATAGAAAATGATTGGGTGCCAGTCAATTTAAACAAACCCATACCTTTCATGCTTGTCAACTTCTAGTTCATAGCTATTTAAGTTTTATACGAATGTAATTTTTACGGTACATTTGTTAAATTATAGTTGCAAACTTTTATATTTTGCTCAACTACTCCAAAAGCCTTGATGTATACAGCCTGACAATATTCTTCTCCGCATTCACATCTATAATTACAAAACTGATTGCCATCTCCATCAATCAATTTACAACTATGAAATTCTCCAAGAAATGTTGGGTCTAATTGTACATCAATTGGAATGTAAGCAAGCACTCCAGAATCTGGCAAACTCTTTGTAGAACTAATACAATTTTGCAGATTTTCACCTTTAACTAAAATTTCAAAATTTTTTAAATTAGAATCAACTGAAGGCCAAGGAATTCTCAAATTAAATTTTTCATCAAGTTTTATATCAATACATGTTTGTTCACTTTCACTATCCATTATTTTCTTTAGTTTGTCATTTCTTGAACTTTTTGTATCGTCAAAAATTGGGCCATTAGTACAAGATTGATGTATAACCCATTTTCTGTCTTCATCTTTATTGTAGTCACATGTATCAGCTTTTAAATTGCTTAATAAGCAACGATTTAATCTTTTATCGGGACAGTAAAGAGCCATGTCGCATTGAGATTGCGCATCACATAGAGATTTGCATTCTTTGATACTATTCACATTGTGGCCGGTTTCACCCCTACAGTAGGTCTTGAAGCAAGTTAGCGATTTGTGAGCTAGCCTATGATAAGTTACTGTATCAACAAAATTAGTGTCACCGCTTTCAATACAAACATCAGCTGATAAAAAGCAAAAGGTTGTTAGGAGATTGTAGACGAAACAGCTACACAGAGGATTCTCTAAACACTTTTTTGAGCAATCTATCATATTTATTCCACTAAAAACCAACATTTTTGATGATGTTGTTGTTTTTCTTGAAACTTTTATAAATCCAGGTATAAAAGTGTTGTCATAGTAGCATCTATTACCAACAAAACAACATCCATAAGCCTCGCAATAGGTTCTAGTTGTTAGCGAAGAGCCACAAAGTGTTAGAGATATATTTTGACACTGTGCCGCATTGACAACAACGTCTGTGTAAAAAGAAACCAAAGAAGAACATGTAAGATAAGATGATACAAATTTCAATACTATAAGATTACCACATGTTCCATTTTTTCGCCCATAATAATTAGTGGTTTCCCAAAAATCAAACTTATCAGGTTTAGAGAATCTATCTTCTGAATTTAAACTACAAACCTTTGTAGATGGTACATAATCAATTGACCTAGAAAGAGGGAGAAAGAGAGAGAGAGGGAGAGAGGAATAGAATGGTTAGTTGTTATATTCTACAGCTTAGTATTTCATTACTTGCAAGTACTTTTCATTATACATTCATATTTGCACTCTTCCAAATCCTTACTAGTCGGTGTCAGAATGTTATATCCAGTTAGCCTATGTTTTTGGTGCACTTCAGTAAAACACACTGAAATTTGAGAAAAATTTAAGTTTTGTTAAATGAAGACCAGAGTAAAAACTAACTGTCAAGTCGGGATGTAACATTTTTTACTGCAAACTTTAATAGTACAATCAACAGGAAAGACAATTGTAAATCTTTCATTCTTCAATTGATAATTTCAATTTGAACAGAATGTATTTGAATTTCTTCAAATACTTTATATCTATACCCTAATGAATTTTCAATATATAATGAATATAATTCTTTAATATAAACCTTTGTTTTTAAAATACAGTACTGTTGAATAGTGTTTTGTTTTAAAATTACAAAATGCAAATGTCAATCATAATTATTTTAGTGAACATTGTTATTGAATTTTACTATTGAATAAACGATATTCATTATGTTACACATAATACTACTATAGGCCCAAAGAAGCCTTCATAAAGAGTGATAGCCAGGATGAAAAGGATTTCGCTAAGTGTCTTCCCTCTCCAGTTTTATACAATTTTGTCACGTGGTGCCTTTATTTGGCAACGCTTACAATGGTTTAAAATTCCCATTGCAAAACGGAAAGAAACTCTACGTGATATAAATTATTTGAAGGAGATGAGGTACAAAACGATTCTTTCAGCTTGTTTGGTACAATAGAAACATTGAATAAACCCTGTCAACTCCATTTCTAAAGAAGATTGGAAAATCAAAAGTTATAGCATATATGATTTAGTATAAAATCCTTGAGCATAATTTCAGATTTCAGCATAAATCAGGTTTCTTACTTTTTAGACCAATCAGTAGAGACTGGCAATCCCAAAATTGCACTCCCACTGTAAGCTTGCTAAGTGTTGGTGTAACTGTTTAGGAACTACTATCTAAAGTATCTCGTGCATTCGTACAGTATACCCCACACACCATAGCCAATGGTCGAAGACAAGCATCTAGCCAACAGGAGAGAAGATATAAATCACTTCCCTGAAACAAACAGCTGGTCTCCCAAGTGGCATCCTATTAGGAATTGTCCAATTTTCTTTATGAATTTTTGGAAGAAGATAAAAATACCAGTCTGTAGCTTTCATTTTGAGCTAAGCTCTTTTTATCATCCTATTTATTACAAAGTCCTCCTTATTAAGTTTTGTAAGGATAGAGATGATTTCAGAATGTCTTGATTTTGAAATAGGAAAAGAGACCATTTTGTAGGTGTTATTATCAGATAATAGTCTGTTAGTCTCTGTCAAATAGACCTTTATGTTCAAGATTACAATGTTGTTTCCTTTATCTGGAGGTTTGATGATGATATCGTCTTTGCTGTAGATTGTTTCAACAGCATTTTGAAATCCTGAACTAGAGCTATTTTGGTGAGGCTTGCTATACCTTTCATTCGCCCTATTCAAAGTCTCACAACCTTTATTCCAAACATTATTTTTAAAATCATTCCATACTGGGATATCTTCACCATCTCACTTGAAATGGTCTTCTCAGTTTGACTCACTTTAGTAAAGGGGTTTACCTTGTAAGTAGAGACCGACATCTTTGTGTTTCACTAGTCTATGGGGAAAGATGCTAGTCCCTGTTTCCAATTCTTACTGACCCACCGTTTCCTGGTGGATTTGTAATTAACATTAATGTATTTAAGACCTTTATTCTCTTTTATCTTAGCCAAACAAGCATTAAAATCTCCACGGGTCCTGTTGAAAACGGCCATAAATGAAAACGTCTACTATATCATCGTCAAAAAATAGCTTTATTCATCGAATTATTCCACAAAAACTAAACTTTTTTATTTTATATTATTTATTTCCTTTAGAAGATAGTCAATAAAAAAATTCAAGTAGTAAACATTTAGATCAATCTCCATATTGGCAGCCATTTTGATTTTCAGTGCAGGTGAATATAGAAATTATTTTTTATTATTATTTGAGCATAAAGGCTCGAATGTTGTTGAAAAAAGAATTCATTTATCTCTATTTCTATTATCGCAATCTTGTAGATTTCTTAATAAAATCATTAGAAAATTTTTATCAAGCCAATCTAGGCACTATAGATTAGGAGAAAGTAGGTCAATACGCTATATACATTCTAGTTGAATATATTTGATTTATTATATAATAGATCTGATCAATATATGTGAAATTGCATTTGCAGAAGGTTAATTTTGATTTTAAGCTCTAATTTATCCCAGCAGTTTGTATAAGGAGGAATAATACTCAGAAGAAGATATGAAAGTTGTGATAACAGGATCATCTGGTTTGATGGGAAAAGGAGCATTTAAATAACAGGATTTCAAAACAAATTCCTTTGATGTCTTTGTAGAATTACAAAGTCCTTCACAAATATTCATTACACCATTATCCATTCTAGTATTTCCTCTTAAATTTAGTTTTTCTAAATTTGAGCAATTTTTTAGCAAACTTCCAATTACTTTACTTTCTATTTCATTTATATCAACTGATTGTGCAAATTCCAGACTTGCTATCTATTGTTTTTAATTTGGAACAATGTTTTAGTAACTTTTGAATATCTCTATGTTCTCTCTGTAAATTACAATTATGGAAATCAAAATTTTTCAAGGTGTTTGATGACATCTTTAGTCCTTCACAAATAAGTGATATTCCTTCATCCATTTCTTTATTACCAGCTAAATTTATTGTTTCTATTGTGGAACAATGTTTTAGTAAATTTCCAATATCTCTACATTGTTGTCTCTGTAAATTACAATTACAGAAATCAAGATTTTTCAAGGTGTTTGATGACATCTTTAGTCCTTCACAAATAAGTGATATTCCTTCATTCATTCCTGGATTCCTTGATAAATCTATTGTTTCTATTGAAGAACAATGTTTTAGTAAATTTCCAATATCTCTACATTGTTGTCTCTGTAAATTACAATTATGGAAATCAAGATTTTTCAAGGTGTTTGATGACATCTTCAGTTCTTCACAAATAAGTGATATTCCTTCATCCATTTCTTTATTACCAGCTAAATTTATTGTTTCTATTGTGGAACAATGTTTTAGTAAATTACTAATATCTTCAGTTTTTTCACTGTTTAAATTAATTTCTTTAAAATCTAAATTAATTGGTTTAATTCTGGATTTCATTAGATTTGCCAAATCTTTCACATTATTACAAATTATTGGTTTGTTAAATATTTCAATTTTTTCATTTTCTAAGTGTTTTTTCAACATTGATAATGCTTTGAATTGATTATCTGTTAAATCTTTTTCTGCATTTTTAATGTTCATATCAAAACATTTGAAAAAATCATAATCAACTTGAAAATCTAAATATATTTCTATTTCTTCATTCTTGGTTTTCTTGGAGTTAATTAATAAATTTTCCAGTTTTTTGTGTTCAGTTGTGAATTTTTTATAAAATTGAATCCTAAGTTTATTCAACTCTGTAAATTTATCCCTCAAAATGTTGTATTTGTTTTTTATTTTTTCTATTGATTTTCTTTCATGTTCATTAATTTTATTAAAAATCTCAGTCATTTTCTTTTGGTCTTGATCTAAAATTATTCGGAATTGTTCCTCCGGTTTTTGATATTTTTCCATTGAGAAAACTTGACAAGACTCATGGTTTTCATCCAAACATGAAGTACATAAACCTTGAATATTATGTGTTTGGCAATAAATATCTGACTTTTTGGCATGATATTTGCATAAGCTGGGCTCCTTGTTAATATCAATTACAGATTTTATAATTCGATTATGTTGAAGTTGATTAATATCTCCATTTTTTATTTTCATATTTTGTCTACATTGAGGACAACAAATTGCACTATTTTCAATTCTGAGTTGTTGAATGCATTCAAGACAATATGTATGTTGACATGGTAGCATTCTTTGATCTCTTCCAACTAAAGATTCAAAGCAAATTGAACATTCCACTTCATTTTCATGCAGAGTATATTGTTTGGTCGCCATTTTGACAATATGGAATTTTTCTATTTTTAGTTTCAGTTTCACCTCTATTCCTTGTTTTTGTTATTTTTAATAAGAATACTATAATAATAAAATAAAAATAAAACATTTTGTGCCTGGGTGAATAATGCAAAAAAAGTTTGATTGTCTTAACTAAATATTTGAATGTCTAAGCATAATTCAATGTTAATTTGGCATGCTGCAACACAATTGGCTATTGTCAGAGACTACAGTAGTCAGAATTTCTGGTTCGTCACAACTGTAATGGTCCTTTCCAATCATTCACCAATTTGCCAAAGTACTCAAACTAATAGAATCTTGAAAGAGTTATTTTTAGTTCTTAATAGCAGGTTGCCAAATTACCAAACTGTCTTTCAATGTTGAGGAGTAGATGGATGGTTCCAGTGGAGGTTGTTTCCAGGCTATCTTCCCAGGTCCTTTGATCCAGATGGAAGCTGCATGCAAAATGAGAATAGTGAGGATTTATATACTTTGAGGTTTGCCTCTGATATCCAATCATCACTTTACAGTTGCCAAAATGTGTAGTTCATATTTATGTTTAGTAACGGGATGTTACAAGGTTCAAGATTTAGGAGGTTAATTGAATTATAACTTGGCTACACCCTAGGCAAGTTAATTAAATTATAACTTGGCCCAACCTTTATTGGTAATTAAAGATGAGCCTTCAAGCTGACTAATCAGACTTATGTTTGGCCAATGTTATAGCATTTTCTTGCATAGGTTTTAAGATGTACATATATAAGTTGCATAAAATAATAGAGTTCAAGCATGTAAAATATAACCAAAGTTGTACAAAACACTATATGCTTGTTAAGTTGGTGAGGTGTGTTTTTGGGGGTCGGGTGCGAACGTTCCTGGGTGCGAACGTACCCTGGGTGGGTGCGAATGTACCTGTATAACTTTAATTTAGATGAAACATTTTTGCCTGATGAAATTTTGCAGAAAGATATTTGTGAAAATGGAGAAAGAATTTTAATCTTTGCAACAAACCATCAGCTGAATTTATTATCAAAATCCAACTGTTGGTACATTGATGGTGCTTTCAAGATTGTAAAAGAAGCATTTTATCAACTTGTCACTATTCACTCATTTGTTAAGAAGAGTGGTGATATGAAGCAAGTTCCTCTTGTTTTTATTTTCCTGACATCAAAGCATAGCAAAGCATACTTACAAAAATTTCAGGTAAATATTTCATATTATCTCTTCAAAAGTGATGATAAATAAAGTTGCTTTCTTCTAGCATATCAACAATCTTATCAATGATTTTCATCCAAAAAGAATTACAATGGACTTTGAAAAAGGACTATGGAAAGCATTATCAAAAGTATATCCCCTCACTGAATTTCAAGGTTGCATATTTCATTTCACACAAGCAGTGTATAGGAAAATACAAGTTAGTTACATTCAAATATATATAACATTATCTATTGAATAACTTATATTATTGAATAGGCTCTTGGCTATGTAAAGAAATACAAAGAAAAAGGAAATGATTGGAAAGATTTCAGAAAATTGATGGCTCTGCCATTCTTGCCAGCACATATTATTCAACCAACATTTGACAGTATAAATGCAGAACTTTGTGAAAAAAATAAATTTTTAGACCTGCTGCAATACTTCCAAACAAACTGGATCAAAAATAAATTATGGAAACCAAATAACTGGTCAGTTTTTGGTTTGTCTATTAGGACCAATAATGATTGTGAAGGATGGCATGAAAGAATGAACAGTAAGCTACCTGCTAAAGGGTCTTTTTACATGCTGGTTGATGAACTAAAAAAAAGAGTCTGAGTTGATTGCAGTTTATGAGAAATTACTGTCAGAAAAAAGGATTTACAAACATCAAAAGAAAAAGTATATTGACATCCAAAAGAAAATTTTTGATCAACATCATTGTATACTTATATATCAGGATTTAAACTCAATGCTACTGAACAACGTCCAGCATTTTATGCCTATAGAACAGAAAATTTACAAACAACCCAAAGGGTTAAAATTGCCTATCAACAAATTGTTTATGATACAAATTCTGGTTGGAATTCTATAGAAAATTCTTATAAAGTTTCCATTTCCGGTTTATATTATATTGATATATCTGTTGGAACATGGCCATTTTCACAATGCGTAGTATATATTATGGTATATAATGAACAAAAATTAGGTATGCAAAGGCTAAGGAGTAGAGCAGCTACTGAGATTATGAGCAGAGGAGGATTATTAAAATTGGAACAGGGAGACAGTCTATCAATAGAAACCAGTCATAGTCTATATAGTGATAATTGGAAATTGACATCAATTGCTTTGTTTTATGTTTCATCTTAAAATATTAAATAAATTTAGTTTATCAAATTTAGAGGATACTGAACTCTTAAGAAATTTCTTATCACCTTTGAACATTGATATTTTTATTTCATAAGTTGATAATAATAGATTTTTATAATCTCTAACATTTTATCAATTCAAAGGTGAAGGTCAATTGTAGAAAAATTTAATTATAAAATTTGTTAACCAATATATGACTCAGCATATTTTACATAGCGCAAATTGAGGATAGGGCATAGAAAATAGAACATTAAATGTTTTCTTCATATCAAACCAGTTTTTCTTTTCAAACTTAATAAAGAAAGTAAAAAGAAGCTTTCTTTAAAACAGATGGATATTTAAATAATCAAATTTTATATTAACAATCACAGTACTCTCTTATTTAGGGTTTATAAGTAAGTAAGGGTCCAATAAGAACCAAAGTATGAGTGAGATAGCTAAAGGTGTAGGATTGATAGTGAGAGGAATATGAAGCCAGTTTTACAACTTGGTTCACAGAGGTTGTATCAAGTCTTTCTGACCACCTTTCCTAATTACACCCTGGTTTATATACATTCTCTTATCATGCACTACAGGCATTGAACCACAGGGATCTAATTCCTAGATAAGGCTCATCAGGACCACACACTTATTATGCAATAGTATTATAAGCAACTAGCTCAGTTATGTACTTGTTTATGCTGATCAATATCACATGTTTACTCTAGTGATCTTATGATATAGTAACAAAAAAATATACAATCTTCAAAAGATGTAGTTTATAAGTGTACACACATCATTAATTATTTAAAAATGAGATAGGCTGAGAGAAATATATGAAACTATAATTCTATGTCTATATACTGAAATTAGGTCAATAAAATAAATATAAACATCTATTAAACATACATGTTTTGTCATAAATAATAAATACTCAACTTGTTAATCATTCCTAGAAGAATTGAACCATTGATTATCAATATATTAGAAAACTGTTTATTAGTTGGAAAATTGTCCTTTGAAGAAATTGAAGAAAAAATAAATGTATATGACAAAAATATCTTTTAGTGCGATACTACTATTTGTACCACTAATCTCTGGATTTTATGAAGATTATGTAAATCTTCTTTCACCACACAGGTATGTTGATGTAAGTGGTTCAGTACACTTGGGAATGTATAAATTTGGCAATTTATTTGATGACACGTCCTTTAAATATAAGACTGATGCTGGTAGACAAAATATAAGCCAAATTAAAATATGGTTTCGAATTCAAAGTGGAGAACATTTTAAATTGCATATGTTACGTTTCCTGAAATTACGTAATGGACACGAAAAACTGAATTTTACATTAACATTTTTAGATGATGCAGAAGATTATGTTTTAGAGCATAACTTTACAAATGGTTGGAATGAAATTGAATTTTCTAATGTAACATTTATAAAAAGAATCTACATAATTGTAAGCGAATCAGAATTTAATGATCTAGAAATTGGTGAATTTCAAATTCTTGGCTTTGATAAATATTTTCTATCATGTTATGAATGGTCTTATGAATCAAAACTTAAAGATTCCTCTGTCTTTTTATATGTAATTGATAATTGGATGTTATGGGATGTTTCAAGAATTGAAAGTGGTTCAACTTGCCAATCATCAACTGGTAATTGTAAATTAGCCATAAAAGATTCTGTTGTCTATATTGATGAAATGTGGAAACCATTGGCAACTGATGAAAATATATTTATTGAAATAAAATTTCATGATAGATACTTAATTGAACATATTATTGTAAAACAGCCAATTGAAAATGAAATTGATACTATAACTATAAAATCTGATGAGAATTTAATTGAAATGATTGTAAATAAATCTAGTTTATTTACATCATTACAAACAAAATTGACAACAAAATTTCTTAGATTTCTATTTTATAAGAGCAATAATCAGATATTTCATGGTTTGAATGAAATTAAAGCAATTGGTCGTAGATTAAAACCCAACCAAATTGTTTGTGATTCTGCAACAAGTTATATAAAATCATCTGATGTGGTATCATTAAGTAATGGTAAAAAGATGTACAATCCAATATCAACTGACCAATGTGCTGAAAGTCATTATTTCCCCAGGTAAAAACCTTTCAAAATAAATTGATTCACCATTTTCTCCTTGTTTTGTTTTTTGTTTTGTAGTACAAGCAATTTAATCTTTAGAAAATTGAAATATCATTTGGCAGCTAACAGCTTTTTTTGCAAACAATACCTTACTATTTTCTGTAAAAATTATAAATCAGAAAATATTGAAGGAGTAATCTTTGCTTCAAATAAGAAAACATTAAAATTTTTAGATGGAAAAGAAAGTTGCTTTCATGATCAATTTACCAAGTGTAAATGTATAGATAACTTTAATGGAAGTTATACTGGGTCTATAAATTTATCAACAAATGATTTACCAATCTTACAAGTTTGTGTTAGTAAAATATTTAATGATAATGAAACATCACAAGTTGAATTAACATTTGGTAAAATGACTTGTTTTGCTAAAAAGGATTTTCTTCAATCAAATAATCAAGATATTGTTGATAATAATTTACAAACTTGTTCATCCAATATTCAATTTAACAGAAAGTTTGGCAAATAGTTCTATGCAAGTTAATCTATGGTTTAAAGAGAATAAATATCCATTCGATTGTCAAGATATTATGATTTATAAGGAAGATAATAATGAAAATTGTGGTAGTCAATCACTCATTCAATGTCCCTTTCATGGTTTTGAAAATTCACAATTTTCTATTAAACTATGTAAATATATTTGTAAATTTGGAGAAATTCATCATTTACAAATTGTAAAAAATTACCAAAAATACGCTGCTAATGATGTGAATTTGTGTGAAGTAACAGTCATTTTGTTAGATAAAAATAATTGAAGGATGAGTATATAAGGAGGAAGTATGTCTGGTTAATGCATGTTGTCTAGAGTAGTATTGTGTATGCAATACTGCTGAATAGTGAATAAAATGATGATTGTAAAGAATTTGAACATTCACTAAAAATGTTAATTTGAGTATGTTGGGATCTGTAGTTCCTCTTGTTGAATATCTGGAGCTGTGGGTTGAGCTTTCCTTCTTTCTAAGTATTTCCAAAGTCTTTTCCTAGTAAGTTTGCTAGATCTTCTTTCATATGCAAGCCATAATATGAATGAGGTTCCAATAATAATTATTGTTGGAAAGGCAATTCCAATCGGCATTTTAGCTTAACCAAATACAAACTCTCAACAAAGGTGAAGAGAACTTGTATCACAATAACTTAACAATTCATAAAAACCTCACAATATTTTGGGTCTATTGACCCTTTTCAAGTGAATGAAAAAGTGCCTGGTTTGATTTTCACTAGACTGATCTTCTGATAGACTTACTATATCAGAGGATATATACTTAGTTCGCTACAAATCACCTTTTTGGTGGTCAGAAAAGTAAGTCGACCACTGACACAAGTTGAAAATTAAACTTGCTCTGATTCTAATGACATTTTCTACAGGACTATATCAATTGAACTGAACCACTGTACAAAATTTCAGCCAAATCGGCCAAGCAGTGGCAGAGCTATGGAGTTCTGAAGATCATGGTAGGTGAAGTTGGCTGTCAAATTGGCAGCCTTAGACACTGTCACTAGCATCCGACCTTACGTTCAACAATAATTAGAGGGTAGCCATAAGATAATCACAGGTATAACAATCAAGTAAGTCACATTTCATAAAATGTATCAAAGGAAGAGCTAGAATCAATTCTATGTTTCTTCCTCTGTACATATATGGCTAATCCTCTTTGCATGGGGCGGTCCAAAACCATATTCATTACCTGCTCATGAAATACCACTGAATCTAAGGTAAAGGGTGATTTAACCTCCAGTTTGGACTTGAAATATATATTTGAAAAGTCAGTTTTAAATAACATTTTTCATGTCAAAATTTTATCCGAGTCCAAAATCTAATACTGTGTTGGGTTGGACTTGAAATTTTTTACCAAAAAAAAAAATTCTATAAATCAACAGAAAATTACACAAATGAAACTTAACAATCTTTCAGTTAAGTTTATTCTTTTGGACAAATATTCTATGGTTTCGCTTCCTTCATTGTAACCCTAACACTTGGGCAATGCCTAAGTAAATATCCCTTTGCTTCTCTTTGTTCATTATTTAAAATAAATGAGCTTAAAAGTATGTTTTTTAATATTTTTGCACAGTTTTGATTGCATAAAATATATTCACTAACCCATATCCCATTTCTTCATTTCCTCTCAAGTCAATACACTCTATATTTATGCAATTCTCTAACAAATCTCCAATTGCATGACTTTGTGCTTCATCTAAATTACATGAACAAAAATAAAGTTCCTTCAGAGAATGCTAAGTACTTTGAAGCCCATCACAAATATTCAAAAAGCCAGTTCCCATTTCTGTATTTCCTCCCAAGTTTATTACATACATACCTGAGGAATTCTTTAACAAATCTCCAATTGTCTTACTTTGTTCTTCCCTTATATCACATGAACATAAGATAAGTTCTTCCAAACTATCTGAAGAGTTTTGAAGTCTATCACAAATATTGAATATTCCATTTCCCATTTCTACATTTCCTCCCAAGTCTATTATATTTATATTTGAGCAGTTCTTTAACAAATCTCCAATTGCTTTACTTTGTTCTTCATTTATAATACACCACATTAAGGATAGTACTTTCAAAGTATTTGAAGAGTTTAGAAGACCATCACAAATATCCATAATGCCAATTCCCATTTCAGGATTTCTTTCCAATCTTAATAATCTTATATTTGAGCAATTCTTGAACAAACCACCGAATGCTTTACTTTGCTCTTCAGTTATGCTACATGAGGATAAGCAAAGCTCTTCCATTGCATTTGTACAGTATTGAAGTCTTTCAACAATATCTAATAAGCTATTTCCCATTTCTTCATTTCCTCCTATTTTTAATTTTTTTATATTTGGGCAGTGTTTGAGCAAAAAGCTAACTGCTCTACTCTGCTCTTCATTCAAATTACATAAAGATAAAAATAGAACTTCCAAAGTATTGAATGAAGATTGAAGTCCATCAAATATTTCCAACATTCCATTTCCAGTCTCTGTATTTCCCTCCAAGTTTATATATAGTATTTTTGAGCAATTCTTTAACAAATCTCCAATGGCTTTACATTGGTCATCATTTAAATTACATGACTCAAAATCAAGAGCTTTCAATGTATTTGTAGAGTTTCAAAGTCCATCACAAATATTCAATAACCCATTTCCCATTTCTGCATCAATAATCTCTATATTTATACAATTAACTAACAAATCTCCAATTGCTTTACCTTGTTCTTCATCTAAATTACATGAAGAAAAACAAAGTTGTTTTAAAGTATTTGAAGAATTTTGCAGTCCATGACAAATATTCAACAACCCATTTCCCATATCAGCATTATCTGTCAAGTCTATGACTTTTACATTTGAACAAATTTTTAGCAAATTTCCAACAGTTTTGCTTTGATTTTCATTTAAATAACAGGATATCAAAACAACTTCCTTTAAAGTCTTTAAACAATTACAAAGTCCTTTGCAAATATCCAATACACCATTACCCATTCCAGTATTTCCTCTTAAGTATACTATTTCTATATTTGAGCAATTTTTTAGCAAACTTCCAATTACTTTACTTTCTTTTTCATGGATATTATATGATTTTAAAAACGCTCTTTTAATGTTTTTGAAAAATTTGCAGGTCTTCATAAATGTTCAATATTCGATTTCTGATTTCTGCATTTACTGTATAGTTTTTGATTTTTACAGCTGAGCACTTTTTTAGCAAACATGCAATATCTTGAATTTGATTTTCACTTAAATCACATGACTCAAAAGAAAGAAGTTTAAGTTTGTCTGCAGAATTTTGAGTCCTTTACAAATATTGAATATACCATTATACATTCTTTTATTTCCTGCTAATGTTACAACTCTTATATTTTTACAACTTTGAAGTAAATTTCCAATTGTTTTACAATGTTCTTCACTTAAATTACAAAACTCAAAATGAAATTTTTCCAATGTATATGCAGAATTCTGAAGTCCATCACAAATATTGAATATTCCATTTCCCATTTCTTCATTTCCTGCCAAGTTTATAGATTTTATTTTTGAACATATTTTTAACAAATTTCCAATTGCTTCAGCTTTTTCGTCATTCAAATCACATGAGCTGAGAATAATTGTCTCCGGAGTAGCTGAAGAATTTTGAAGTTCCTCACAAACACTTATTATTTCTTTTCCATTTCTGTATTTTCTGATAAGTTTATGACTTTTATGTTTGAGCAATTCTTTAACAAATCTCTAATTTTTTTAGTATGTTCTATCTTTAAATTACAGGAGCATAAAGAAAGAGAACTCAATGTATCTGTAGAGTTTTGTAGTCCATCACAAATATCAAATATACCAATTCCCATTTCAGTATTTTCTTCCAAGTTTAAAACTTTTATATTAGAGCAGTTGTATAACAAATCTCCAAGTGTTTTACATTGATCTTCATTTATATCACATAGGCAAAAAGAAAGCTTTTCCAAAGTATTTGTGCAGTTTTGAAGCCCATTGCAAATATTTAATGTGCCATTTCCCATTTCTTTATTGCTTCCCAAGTATATCAATTTTATTCTTGATAATTTTCTAACAAATCTCTAATTGCCTTACTTTGTTCTTCACTTAATTCACATGTATGTAAGATAAGTTCTTTCAAACTATCTGAAGAGTTTTGCAGTCCATTACAAATTTCAAATATACCATTTCCCATTTCAGCATTTCCTTCCAAGTTTATAGCTTTTATATTAGAGCAATTCCTCAGCAACTGTCCAATTTTTTCACTCAAACTACATAATGAAAAAGATTGTTTTTCCAAAAATTCTGAAGAATTTTGAAGTCCATCACAAATTTTTAAAATGCCATTTCCCATTTGATCATTTCTTCCCAAGTCTATTTCTCTTAAATTTAAACAATTTTGAAGTAAATATCCAATTTCTTCAGTCTGTTTTTCATTTAAATTACATGATTTAAATTGAACGTATTTTTAGATCTTTGAAGTTGTTTGCAAATAATTGACATTTGACTTTTTGTATCATTATTCTCAGAAAAATTTGTTGTCTTTTTTTGTTAATTTTTTTTGTATTTTATTTTTCATAGAAATATGAGTTTCGTTTCTAATAATTAAAAACATTTTGTGTTTTAGCCAAAGAGTCTCAAAATGGTTCTTGCTAAATCATGTCATAATGTCCCTGAACTGAAGAAGTGTGCTACATAAAGGGAAGACTTTTTGGAAATAGTTGTTACTACAGGTGAAAAATTAATTTAAAGTTTAGGGAGAACAAATCTAAATATTGTATTGAGTTGTTAGAAAGATTCTTAAAAAAACTTTTGTATCAGCTTGAATTTTATCAATTTTTAACAGTTAAGTCGACGGTTTTCTAAAAGAACATCTATGTCGAACTGAAGTGCACATGAATTAAAAATGTAACTGAAAATATAAATGATTCAATGAGACAGAGAACAAAGGGAAAACTATGATCACATGCATATTCAAACACCTGTTAATAATGGATTTACTGAAGAAATATAGCGTTATTTCTATATATGTTAAAATTTAGTTTAATTCTTGTTATATTGGTTGACAAAATGACAGAATTGAGTGCGAATTACTGGCTTTTTCGCCTTACAAACTTTTTCTCCTTATTTAGTATTCATTTTACTCTTCAAACATGTTTGTTAATTTTAATTACCTAGAAAATTATTTAAGAAATTTTTCAAATTCATAATTTTCTAAAAAATTTAGCAAAAAAAAAAGACTGGGCTTCAGCTTGTAATAGTGAAAATAGCTGCTCACCAGAATATATCAAGATTATATTTAAGCAACAATATGATATTGTTCAAATTTGTATTGAACAAAGATTAGCAAGAGCCCCACTTTTAACCAAAAAAGTTCGAATAGATTATAGTAATGGTCGTAATTCTACTCATCAGCTCAATGATAAAATATATCAAAAGTGTTTTCTCCTGCCCAGAGAAGTTGGTAAAGGAAATGAGTGGATAAAAGTTACAACAATCAAAGGCTATGGATCAGCAAAGAGAGGTCTTGGCAGTGTTATGGCTTACGCTTACAGTGGTATTATACGAATACATTGATTTGCTAAATTATTGAGAAAATATACAAAATTCTTTCCTTCTTTTTTGATGACCCTCTTCTAAAAAATGAAATACATTATTCAAACATTGCAGAAAACTCCCATTGCAATATACCAAATTATAATATCGATGATTGCAAAAAAGCTCTCGACTATGATTCCAGTTTAAGTCATGATGCTGATTGGTCAGCCCCTTGCCAGAAGAGTGACTGCTATGCCGATGTTTATGAGCTAACCTTTCCCAGTGGTGTTAAACCCAAGATTATTTGCTTAGCTGGCAGGTAAATTTTTATTAATATCTCATTTAAAACTATTTTAATTTCCTTTCTTCTTGTTAGAGAGGTGGGAGGTGTTACATTAGTTACTGAAATGAAAGTTGAGTGGAGTTCAAGTTTCCAACAAACCTTTCAATTTCCCACATCTAGACTTCGAAGATGTTTTGAATACTCCAGTAATTTCGTGGAAACAGGTTTGAAATTGTGGTCCACAAAATTTCATGACACCAATGGACATCATATGGGATATGCTTACATTCAGGTCTACATAGAAAGTAATTACCATGGTGATATATTTAAAAAAACAATGAATCTATTTACTGTTTTTAGCTATTCCTCAAAAAGATTTTGACATTGAAACAAATGATGAACTTATTTATCACTTTCCTCCATCCTACACTTCAAGTATCATAGAATTGAATTTTGGTGTGCAAATTGTTAAGAATAGTGACAGTAAATCTCATGCTTTCATTATTAACTTTTTAAATAAAACCGGAAATTCAAAACTCAAGATAACAATGGATATTGGAAATGATATTGATAATACTAGAAAGACTACTTTTATTATAGAAGATCGTATAGTAAATGAAATAACAACTCAAAACAACTCTAATCATCTTTTATCTTTGGACAGTTGGACAGATTTTTCTGTTGTTTTCTCCAAAAATTATATACAATTTGGCCGACTAAAATTGAATGTTTCTGAGATTATTTACAAAATTAATCATTCTTTTGTAGATAAAGTTACTACATTGGGAGTAAATAACAAAGAAGGGTCCAAATTCTCTAAATTTAGAGTCAATAATTACAAATTTGGCCTATTTAATTTGGATATAAATGCTCTCTATTTGGCTGATTGCAAGAAACCAACGTTAAACAATTTAAATGACTTTAATATTTTGACTTGTACAGCTATTGATACAATTCCATACACTGTGGGAATAACTAAACATAATAACTTTGGAAGGATAAAACAATTTGCTGAAGTGGTTTTAAAGCATACTGTTGAAGCTAAGCAACTGATAAATATTTACTTTTTACTCACGAAAACTGGTAGTAAAAATTCAAAAGTTTGCCCACTTTCAAATGTTACCCCTTTAAATGGACAAGAAAGTTTATGGACATATAAGTATGATTGCACTCAAAATGAAGAACTGGTAGGAAAGATGGTAATTAATATCTTGCCATCACATTCAAGTCCATTGGTGGAAATATGTGAAGTGTATTTGTAGATATCAAATCCAGATTTTATATATATTGCACTGTAACAATCACATTTTACAAGAGATTTCTTCATGTTATTCTTTTACACTCTATAGCTTTCACTTATGCTTGAAAATGCTTGAAACTATTATAGGCCAAATACATAGGGAGCAGGTGAAACCGTACCCATTGTTAATTTAATATACTGCCAAAAAATCTATGGCAGGATTGTTCTTGAAATGAAAAATGTGAAATATTTAAGTAACAGGACTTGCTTAATTATATTTTTTTGTTTAGAATGAAGGATAAGACATTTATAGAACCAAATTTAAAGATAAAATTCATTTAAACATTTTTTTTACTTTCCAGTAATTTTTATTCAAAAAATTTTGCAAAAATGGAGGAGGTCAAATTTCTGGCAGGTATTTCAAATAATGTAAAAAATTCCAATTTTTGACTTAATAATTGATGGCATATCCTTTCTTTTGGATGACAAGACGGCATCTTTTTTTTATGGAGCTATATAAATTTTTTAAATAGTCTTCAGAAATCAAAAATTATTCCTCCTCTATGATAGCCTTCAAATCCTCCAGATTTTTTGGAATTCTCTTGTAAACTCTCTGTTTGAGCACTGCCCAGAGGTTCTCGATAATGTTCAAGTCTGGACTTTGTGCTGGCCAATCTTTTAAATATTTTATTTTGTTTTTTCTCAAAAAAGATTTACACACTTTTGAAGTGTGGCATCGTGCCCCATCTTGTTGGAAGATGTTCTCCCTTTTATAGATAGGCAGTAGATGCTCTTTCAAAGTTGAGATATATTTCTCTGAGTTCATTGAATCAGAGCAATATGCTAAAGCTCTGGAACCATCATATTTGATGGCTCCTCAGATCATCAGCTTACAGTCTTGCGTTTTGAAACTGCTCCTTGTATTTCTTGCTTTGTCCTTATCCTCCCGCTTACATCTGACTCTGACTCTTTGTTTAGGATAAAGATCAAAAGTTGTTTCATCTCAAGCACATCCTCCTTTTTTTTAGGGTTTTTTTTACCAAAAATTCTCTTTTTTCGATGCCCCAATTTTGTCAAAGGTTTTACTTTTGCCATGTAGCTTTTTAATCCATAATCAAATAGAATCTTCTTAGCAGATGATAAACTCACCTTATCTGCCATGGCCCATTGGCTATAAGCTTGTCTGGCTGTATAAAAGGGATTTTTTTTTGAATCACAATAAGATTTCTCTTGTCTGCTTCTGAAATCTTTTTAGGGCGGCCAGACCTGGGTCTGTGGATGTGGTAGAAAACGGCCATAAATCTATGGTTTTACCCTAACCCTAACCCAGCCCTTGTTTTTGCCTAACCTTTTTGAATACCCCTAACCCTTAGATGGGACCCTCCTAAGAACATATCAACAGTTATCTTATTCCTCCTAACCATTTCCCAGGCTGAAATCTAACTTTCAAATATTTCATTTATGGCCGTTTTTGACCGGTTCCTGGGTCTGTCCTCCATAGAAGAATGTTTTGCATTCTTTTTTAGGTTGTACTGAATAGTACTGCGAGCAATATTTAGCTCTTTGGAGATCTTTACCTGGCTTAACCCTCTTTTGTCCAGTTCAACAATTTTTTCTTGCATTTCGAGGCTTATTTTGCCCATTTTCAATTTTTTTAACAGTTTGTTCCAAAGAATGGTTTGACAGTACTCAGGAATGTCATAAAAAATTAAAAAAAGTGGGTTTCTATCTGATTAACATCTAAATTTTTGCCAGGAACAGGCATCCTGCCAGAAATTTTACCTCCTCCATTTTTGCAAAATTTTTTGAATAAAAATTACTAGAAAATAAAAAAAATGTTTAAATGAATTTTATCTTTAAATTTGGCTATAAATGTCTTATCCTTCATTCTCAACAAAAAAATATAATTAAGCAAGTCCTGTTACTTAAATATTTCACGTTTTTCATTTCAAGAACAACCCTGCCATAGATTTTTTGTTGGGATTGTATATGTCATAATGTTATATATACTATATATATTATGTTTGTGTATTCTGCCATCTGATGTCATCATTTCAACATTTGGTAGACTGAAGTCTGAACTTTTGGAGCAATTGAAATTTGGTGACTTACTTTTGTATTTTGAAAATACATGAATATGTAATTCTATGTGGAAACCTGAAAATTGGTCAGTGTTTGGTCTATCAATTAGAACAAATAATAGTCTGGATTGTTGGCACAACAGAATGAATAGTCAAGTGCATTCAAAAGGCTCATTCTACATAATAGTGGATGAAATGAAAGAAGTGTGAGATTTGATGATTATCTATGAAAAGGTGATGTCTGAAAAACAAATATATAAATATCAGAGAAAAAAGAAATAAATTTGACATTTGGGATGAATACAAACTAGGAAAAATATTAGCAGATGAATTATGACTACAAACATTTGATATACAGTATATGCTCCATAGATTTTAACTACATTTCATATTCTCTTTTTCTTTTCATTTCAGTTTTAATTCTTTGAATTTTGTTTAGATAAATGTATCTTTAAACATTTGGCTATATACATTATATCAGTATCTGGGTATGGTTTAACCCTGTATTGGGTACGGTTTCACCCCTATTCAAATACATATACTACTTACAAATCACTTATAATTCAATTAGCTTTCATAAAAGACAAGGATTATGTCTATTAAACTTTGTGACATCCTGAAACACCAACAGGAAACAAGCCGAATACTTTAGCATAGTGGAATTGCTAAACCTAATCCAAATTTCAATAAATGTATGTTAGTAAATAGGCTAAAATGTCCTGGCCCTGTGAAAATCTAAGGACAATTGAATGGTGAATGAACCTTTTTCCTTTTAACAACACTATGTACATAGAAGGGTGGTATTTTTCAGTTGTTCAATTGTTAAATCCAAATGTTGAGGAAATTGCAATTCCAGTATTCGAAGCAGAAGATAAAACATTCCACCAAGCAACTTTAAGATATAGTTGAAAATTTCCTACAAAATTACAATGCTTAAGTGTTTTGGAAAAAGTAACAGATATGGACACCAGTAATTGGACATTATCAACTAGTCAAATTGTATATGTTGTTGCTGGTTGAAGCCAGGAGCTGGAGTTGGACCAACATTACATGTTATCCAAACAACTGAGAAATATACTTATTGTCAACATCAAAGATTGTATAGATATGAAATTGTCATATATTCTTACAATTTTCCTCTTTTCTCTTTATTCAAAAAGTATAGTTTGTCTTCTTCATTTAACAACTGGTTGTCAAATTGAAAACAGTCAAAGAATTGGCCTTGGAGATAAAAATATTGAAGATTCTGAATGTTTACTTAATAAACACAAGATATTCTCTTGAACAAGATAAAAATAAAATCAATAAAGTTCTCAATTCATATCACAACTTTCTACAGTAACAAGCTTTCATTCAAGCACACTTAATCTAATTAATGATTTAAATAATTCAACTTGTATTGATTTAAAACCTAGTCCATTCATTGTTAGATATCCTTTTCCAGGAGTGAATAAACCATTAGTTTCAATAGCAGTATCAATAGTTGGACAAAACCTGTCTTGTTCAAATGGCTAATTGAATGAATTGATGATGTACATTCCTCCTCTGTCACAATTTGATATTGAATTTGATGGAAGATTCAAATTTTGTAATTTATTATATTCCAGTGATGGAATGTGTAAATATAGCTGTGATTGTGATAGCAGATATTGTGAAGGAGTATATGTTAGAGCATATTCAGATTCACAAACTTCAAAATTATGTGAAGTACTTTATTAGCTGATAAAAAAATAATGGAATACATCAATGGAAAAATAGTCTAACAATGTTGTATTAAAATTCATAACTGACATTTATGGTTTTGGACATTTTTCTGTTATGTGCAAATTGTTTGTTTTCTGAAAAAAGAGACAGAAAACAAATAGTTTCACAATGGATTAACATTTAATATTATTTGGAAGACATTGTTTTTTGGATTGATCACAGCTTCACCATCTAGAATTTCTATCTATTCAATTAATTGTGAAATTAGCAGAGATGATTAGTTGATAAACTAAAACAATTAATAAGAGTAGTTTTTTACTGGTCTGGACAAAATGTCCCCATTCAACAACTATTTTTTAGTCTATGCTCCCTGAATATTTCATTAAAGAAAAATATGCTTGCTGCTACGTGACAAACATTCAATGAATAATTGTGGGGAATAATGAAGTTTAGTCCTACTATACAATCAATAATTTAGCCTATTGATTAAAGCAAAAATTACTTGTCAAAAAAATGAAGTAAGATTTATAATTTAACAATAGGTCTTTAATACCAGTTATGCTGAAGAAAAAACACAGTTTAAAAGAATCTCTATTTTTTTGACATTTAATGATAATATTTGAGAAATTTCCCTAGTTCACTAAAGGAATAAATTTTAGGATATACTTCATTGAGTTGATAGAATATGTCCATGCCAGAGAATTAAACAATAAAAATTTGTCTTATGTAATTACTAAAGAAACAACCATACAATTATAGAAGGTAGATTGGCTTGTTCTTTTACTAATAATGCTTGTGGAATGGAAATCAATGGAAATGGTCATTAACAAACTTCAAATGAATGGAAAAGAATAATTCATCATAATAGAAAATCAATTTAAATTCAGCATTAAATATTAAAAGAAATATGCACAATTGCAATAACAAAAGATCCAATAGAGATGGCGTTGACAGAAAACGTCCACAAATGAGAAATTTCAAGACAAAAATTTGGATTGAGAAATGGTTAGGCAGAAGAAAACAGCAACTGATTTGTACATATTAGGGTCTCCTCTAACGATTAGGGCTAATGCAAAAGCTTAGGTACAGACAAGGGCTGGGTTAAGGTCAGTGTAACTTCACTGATTTATGGATGTTTTTTGTCGAATCCTCAATAAAAACTTTGTTTGGAAGTGTGGAAAACATTGTTTTACTATGAATTAAATTTGTATAGAATATGATTCTATTAAGATAGTGGGAATGAAACAGTGAGGATTTATAAACCCATTTAACACTTCCATAAAAAACAATAAAGCTTTTGTAGAAAATACTTTGTCCTATTACAATTGTTGGACTTTCTGAATAATCAAAGTTCAGTATATTCTACCTATATGACAGCACTTTTTAATATTAATCCAAAAGATTATAGCTTATCTATATAATGTTAATGGAAATCAATTCCTGATGCCTGGGCCAAAACTTTCAAGAAATTTAAGATGTCTTTTGTTGAATGTTGAAATATGGTAATTAAATAAGAAACATTGTTTGAATGAGTATTATATAATCTCTGAAACATATAAAATATAAGAAATAATACCTTGATTGAATTCCATGAACGAACCTAATGCTAAATGTTGAAACAAAAATAAATTGTGGAAACCAAATAGTTGGTCAGTTTTTGGTTTATCTATTAGAACCAATAATGATTGTGAGGGATGGCATCAAAGAATGAACAGTAAGCTACCTGCTAAAGGATCTTTTTACATGCTTGTTGATAAGCTAAAGAATGAGGCTGAATTGATTGTAGTTTATGAGAAAATATTGTCAGAGAAAAGGGTTTACAAACATCAAAAGAAAATGTGTATTGACATACAAACAAAAATTTTTGATTTGTGAGATGATTTCAAATTAAACAAATTGACATTCATTGATTCATTAATGCAGACATCTCTTATCTACTCTCCAGCTTAAATATAACATATGTACACCTTTGTAATCAAACCATTTTAAAAAAAATCAATAAATTTACTAAAGAAAAAAGGGTGCGAATGTACTCAGGTATCTTTGCACCTGCCTTGGGTATGTTTGCAATCCAACACCAATATATGCATTTCCAGCAAAGAAAACAACATTTCTTGATGTCAGAAATTTCGCCTGATGTAGTAGTAAAGTAAAGTAGTCTCATCGATCCACCAAGTGGGAAATTGAAATTTTAGGTCTATTTAAAGTCGAATAAAGTACAACATTCATAATAAAAGTAGATATATAAGATAAAATATGAAGAATCTTATCATTTGTCTTTTATCAACAGTTCCCAAATTTTAATAATCTAGGAAACTCTTTTAAGCATTTTAGCATAATTGCAGTAAATTCTTATCAATTTTGTATAATATGGAATAATAATTATCACTTGATTCTAATAAATATTGATTTGAATTTGCAAAAATTGGAAAAGAACTCAGATTGCATTGTCTTAATGTTTCAAAATAAACTAAACTCTGACAAACTTCTCTATCCATCTTGCAAATTTTGTAACATTCTATAACATTTTGTATTTGACGAATTGTTGAGTAGATGTAGGGTTGTTTAATCATTTTTTTTTCGTATTTTAATTGATATTTTACTATGATAAAAAAAAAAACAAAAACAACATTAGATTAATTTGACTAAGTAAAAAAAAATTAATATCTCTCTCTCTCAAACCTGGAATAATTCCAATAACTTCTTTACTTATTACGTAATAATCACATGTAATATTCATTTTGATTTCTGATGAAATTCTTAAATATTTTGTAATCATTTCTTGTTTACAATGAAATGTAAAATTTGTAGGTTTATCAACACGAAGATGATGCATATCTAAAGTTGTACATAATATTTCTATCCCATAAGATAAAGCAAAAATATTTAAATTTGATTGAAAGTCTACATTCTCTCTTAAAAGAAAACCAATTGCAGTTATTTTACAATAAACTGGTAATTCAATGAAATAATATTGAGTAGGATAGAAACTATCACAAATTGAATTGGAATAGATTGTCCAAGTATCTAATGAATATATAACATTGGCAAAAGAACGAATCGACTTATCATTGTCGACAAATTGTTTCCTACCAAAAATGTAAATTTCGCAAAGTTGCATTAAACCATTACCACCAAATTTATAGAGAGATACTCTATCGCCAATGTATTCGCATTTATATAACAATTGCTTTATTTTAAAATTATTTGTCAAATTTGAACAAATTGACTTTTGTAAGTTTTTATCGAAGAAGAATAATTCAACTGTAACTTGAATATTTTTGAAATTTTCTATAAATAGTTTTTAAAATAATAAATACACAATTAATGATAAAGAAATAGTAATTTTTAGTAACCTTTTGGTGCTTCAAATGGAATGAGAACACCAATTTGATTTATTAAATATTGATTATCCATATAGAGAGTTATTCGTCCTTCCTCAAAACTACTTGATGCCAAATTACCAGAACATGACAAGAATCCATCATTTAAGGCATTAAAGGCCAAACTATCTATAATTTTTATTGGATATTGATCACTTTCATCTCCATTTTGAATACTTTTAGCATCATTACTCCTATCAATATTTGTAACTGGTAAGAGAACCATATCATTATCAACAATTTCTTGACCATACGCTTCTAATTCAAGAATATTGATAGCACTCGCGGAATTTAGAAAAATGATTGCAAAACGGCCGACCGGAAATGGCGTTTCACATTCCCAGAGTCTATATTCTCCACTTAAAAAATCTTCATTATTTGTAAAACATTTTTCGGAATAAGAATGATATTCCTCAATATTAAAATCTTGATAATTCGACACTAAACCATTAATATACCTCGCTCTATCGTGCACTGTAATTCATAAGAGAAAAAGGATGATAAATAAAAAGAAAAAATAGACTTTGATAAATACAATTTTCATCTCTATTTAAAATTGCCATTCTGAAAATAGTATACTTTGTAAACGTATCAACTCTTGCCCATTGTTTGGAAGATACTTTAGAATGATAAAAAATATTGTATAGACCATCAGTTAAACTTTGAGGAGTGTATATTGAACCAAATGAAGAAGATGTCCAAACTGGTTTATGTAACAATATATTTGTATTTTCATTATTGGATTGTTTGATATAATTGCCAAAAACTTCTACTTCACGTATTCGAAATAAAAGAGAATTAGTTGTTTTTCTTCTAAATACAACAAATTGACCTTTAACCCCTCTACTAGGGCATAAAAATGAAATAAATTTTTCAGGATAGGAAGAGTAACCCACTGCATTATGTGGATATTCTCCGCATAAACTATATTTAGAAGAATTATAACTTAAATATGGATTTTCATTTGTAACTTCAATAACAAATTGATAAGAAAGATGAAAATTATTTGATAATATTAAGTCAATAGCTAAAACATTGTAGTAAGCAAATAGGTTAATTGCAACCCAAAATTGCCCTCCAATTTTCAATTCTCTGTTTATATTTGTAAGACCATCAGTTAATGTAGACAATTTGCGATGTGCATATTTGTTAATAACTCCTTTCAAATAGGCTATGTTATCTATAAATAAAAGAAGAAGAAAAAGCTAAAAACATAAACTTTTTTAATAAAATCATATAAACATTTACTAGAAATTATTTCAATTTCACATAATTGAAGAATATCATTTTGTTGTGTTGGTTGAACTGTTAAATTAGAACTTCTAGTTTGCTTTAAATTATTACATAACACTGTTGTTGGTGAATTGTTATCTAAAAATATATCATTATCGGAGCATGTATTATGGGAAGTATGCATATAAATTTGTAATTGTTGAGTAGCTGAAAAAAAAAAGTTTTATAAGTTTTTGCTATGTGAAATTGTGAGTAAAAAAAGAGAATTTTTCTTACTCTGCTGATTGGTTGGCCATAGAATTACTTTTTTAATGATATGTTTCCCTTTGAAATGTATTGTAATTTTGGGTTCATCAGTATTTAACTTCATTAATACTGTACAAGAACCAAGTGTTATATTACTATAATGTGAACCATCTACAATATGTTTTGGGTGATATAGTGGATTTTGAAAGTTTCCAACATAATCAACCATTTCACTATTGAATGCTATATTCATTTCATTACTATCCATATGTTCAAAACAGATTAGTCTATAGAAATTTGAATTTTCATCCTCTGCAAATCTATTTATAGACTTGTTAAAAACTTTTTTTGAATAATCATCAAATTCTAGAACAGTCATTGATTGATAGTTAGGTTTAAATTTAAATTGTTCACCAAAACAACCATTTGCTTCCCACAGTTTGTTATAACATGCTTCAAGCAGTGGTATTTCATTTTCATTTGTTCCGCAAACTGCGAGTTTTTTATCTAAATTTGTCCAAAAACAAAAGAAATTTTTTTTAATGACAATAATTTAATAATTGTTCATCTTTTCTTACTTTTCAAAAGAATTAAAGAAAATACATTATTGAATACCAAAGATGATATTTCTTTATAAAACTGACAATTATAACTTCCATCATTGAGCTCTTTAAATATAAATCCAATACAATCATGGATATTGTTATTTAAACAAAACTCATAGCAATCACCAATAGAATCTCCTTGTTTATTAAAAGTATGTATACCATGGACAAATTTATTTTTGTCTAGAATTAGATTATGACCTATTAAAAAGATAAAAATTTTAATTTATAAAAATTTCAATCCTTTTTTTTTAGTAATCTTACTATCATTGCAAATTTTCTGATCATATTTTGGCTGGCAAAGACATTTTCCTGATAAACAATATTGAAAGTTTGAGCAGTCATTATCAACTGAACAATGAGTTTCTATTGCTAAAAACAAGACCAAAGATTCTTTTAACAGTTGTATTCCATAGCTAAATTGATTAATTAGTGTCTAAATAATTTAGCGTATAATCTTATATCAGAATATTAGTCTAGTCTAACAAATTGCAAATAAGATAAGGTTTGGTTTAATAGAAAAAATCTATGTCAATTCTAAAATAAGTTTTTCATGATCTAAAGACAAAAATTCAAAAACAGCTTTTTTCTTTTTAAGATTCAAACAAAAATTTCAATAACATAACTAATTGGAATTAACATAAACTAACCTGAGATTTTAAATGAGGATGATGCAATGAAGAAAAAGAAGTATTTGACCAGTAATAGACTTGTCATAGTTTTCTATCCAAGTGAAAAATATCTATTATTGTTATTAGATACAATATTTTTATGTTTATGTAAAGAAATGTTAATTGTTAAGAATTAAAACAAAATTGATCTTCTATTTAATTGCTTGTATCCAGAGAATATCTTTGTTAAAATAGTATTGTTTAATGAACAATAGGCGTTAAATATTTACATTGTATTGTTATTTATATATAATTTTATAATATGAAAAATAGGCCTAATATTTAAAATACAGCTAAAAATGAGCTTATAAAAAGTTTAAATCAGACACATTTTAAAGACAAGGAAGGAAAAATGGGTCAAAAATGGAATATGACTCTTTTCACTTTTTGACACATAGACATGAAAATGGATGAAGCAAACATAATTTTTTGGTCTACTCTTGTGTAATCATATACAATTAACTTTTATTTTAGTACAAACAACAGTATTCATTATGAGAGGGATTTTTTAATAGACTGTTACCTATTTTTGAGATAAAACACATGTTTGTATGGATATTTTTGTTTCAAGCCCACACAATTGAGACAAGCCAGAACATGTTCAAATTTATAAAGCAAAAATTTATTTAAAAAGAAATGGCTATATGATAATTTAAATGAGGTCGGGAAGAAACGTCCTTGGGAAAAAACGTCCCTGGGAAAAAACGTCCCAGGGTGGGAAAAAATGTTCTAATTGTTGGGAAAAAACATCCTAATTGTTGGGAAAAAACGTCCTAAAGCTTGGGAAAAAACTTCCTATGCCTGGCTAAAGATATACTTGGCATAATTATTGATACTTATAATCAGAAATGTTTTTCTCTTTTGCTGTTTACTTCATTTATAGAATAAAATATTAATATTTTTGAAGAAAGGTATATGTATTGTGATGTTTTTACCAGTTTTCTCTGAATTATGTAATGCTATTAAAAGAGAAATGAATTATTTCCTTCTATTGTCTGTAAGTGAAACATAAATTTTGCAGTTCTTGGCATATTTTCAGGCTAATTTGTTTTTTAAGCATTGAAACTCTTGTATTGATTTGGTTTTTTTGAATATTACAAGATTATACATTTTTTAAGAACCCTTCTCTCCTGTCAGTTATTATTTATAATTTTTGTATTGGCAGCCATATTTGATATTTGAAAGTTAATTTATTTTTACAGAAACATTGAAAGTACTTGGATTAAGCATTCAATTTGGACACCAAATTGTTGGTCTGTATTTGGTCTTGCCATCAGCACTAACAATGATGTTGAAGGATGGCACAGAAGAATAAATGAAAAGACTCCTGCAATAGGCTCATTTGATATGCTCATAGATATTTTAAAACAGGAATCAAGTCTTATTCCAGTTGTAGAGAAACTTCTATCAGAAAAAAGGCTAAAGAAGTATCAGAAGAAAAGTGTCATCCAGAAGCCGGACCAAGTATTTGCTGTTTGGGATGAATACAGATTGGGAATGGTTACATCTGCTGTCCTCTTACAGAAGAGTCTTAGCATAATTTTTACTTTATTCTAGTAAGTTTTAAACTTTGTATAACATTCTTAGCTTTTTTCATTTTTAATACATTTAAATAAACATATATTCATTATTAATTATTATATTCTCAGTATATTGTCATTCGTTCCCAAAATAGAGCAATCTTTTTAAAATTCAAATATCTTTTCCCACTACTTGTTTTTCCCAACCTTGGGACGTTTTTTCCCATACTCATTTAAATATATAAATAACAGAAAATAGGAGAAACCATAAATATGCTGAAAAGTTTGTATTGAAATTCAAACAAAAAGAACATTGAAAATATGAGTAATATACAATTAAATAAAGCTAAAGCTAAAAAATTAAATGAATGAGTAAAGAAGACAAAAATTAAGAATAAAAATGAAAATAAAGATAAAAAATAAATAATTGCTAAAGGGATGCGACAGAAAACAGCCCCAAAAGCATGGTTTTACCCTAACCCTAAACCATCCCTAATGTATCCCTAACCCTTTTTCATTACTCCTAACCCTTAGATGGGACCCCCTTAACTACAAATCAATAAATGCTCTTTTCCTCCTAACCATTTCTTAACCCAAAATGCTGCCTTCATATATCCTTCTTGGGGCCGTTTTCTGTTGATCCCTTGTTAAAGTCCCTCCTTGAAGGAAGATTGGATAAATTTATCTATAAAACTAAATTGAAAAAAAAATAGTAATAATGTGTTAAAATACAGTAAAGGCTTTTTATACCTGTTTAATTTAGTGGCAAGATTAGTCTTGTAATTAAAAAAATCAATAGGTGGTAATGTACTACCCTTTGCTTAGCCAATTTATTCATTTGCAAACTTACAACAGTACTGATTCTACTTGAACCTTTTAATAAATGTTTAAATTTAATGATTAAGTCTATAGTTTTCTAAAAATCATTTTGTAACAAACTGAAATGCACATAACAGATTTTTTCTTTTCTTTTTGGTTGGAATTATTCTTAGCTGATATTTTTTATTGCTTTCAAGTACACAGTATGAAAAACAGAGCTATTAATATTCTACCTTTTACACCTGTGCAAGAATCAATCATTTCCAATAAATTGACATTGATTAACTTTTTAGGTTTAGTTCAATACTTATTGATGGATAATTTCCACTATTGATTCTGTCTATATGTCGATTAATGTGAAAAATTAAAATAGTTTATTTTATATGAAATTGAAACAAAAGGAGATATGCAACGTTATCTGTTTCAATAAAGCTCATTTTACAACATTCCTTAGGAAATGTCAAGGTCAGAACAAGAGAAGTCAATTATGACTTTGATTTGGATAAGGATTTCTTCTTAGACTTAGAGACAGCTGTGAAAAAAATAGGAAAGAAGACAGCCATTCTATACTATGGTTTCCTTTTTGGAAATGACACAAGGATGCCAGGCTTTGGGCAAATTTTTGATATAGAAATAGAAAAAATTAGACCATTTTGGAAAAGAATTCATAGAAACAAAATTTAAATTTAAAAACTTTTATGAGCAGTTTATGATCCTTTTAAAAAAGATTCTGATTCGAGAAATGTGAATGGGGAAGACTGTTGAAGTATAGTGAAGACTTATGCATGATTGGGCTTAAAATAAATTGTAGTATGAATTATTTTTATCAAAAAAGGGAAATTTGCAGCTGAATTGAAAAAGCCTAGTAAACCGATGTTGAAAGTGAAAACAATAGTTATGGATGATTTAATCAAATGAATACCATTTAAAAGTGATATTACGAAAGTTGATATTGTATTAAAATATAACTTCTATACAGAACATTGTTTTCTACACTCTTTCTCTATTGAAAGATTGTTTATATGAGATGCTGAACACACCAATCCCACGATATGACATAAGACTCCCTGGAAATTCAGGCAAGGGAATCCCTTTTGATTCATGGAAATCTTGCTTGGAGTTATGCTTTACAATTGATAATTGCAAGTAGGAATTTATAAAAAATGTTGAAATTTCAAGCATTTTGAAAAATTTTTCAGATCTATTGATTACAGACTGGATAATAATATTTGTTATTTAAACTCTAGAACGATCTATACAGCTGATTCAGTTTATTCTGACACTATTATTTATGTAGGTCTGCTTGAAGGAAAGTGTTGTAAGTAGTCAAGTAAAATTCATAAACACATCTTTATCATTTGTTCAAGACAAAACATTATCTGATTTCATTAATTTTAATCTGCGATAATGCTATCCCTGAAAAATAGATTTTTCAGGATAATTATTGAGCAGGATATTGTTTAAAATGACAGACAAATATTTTTAATCAAACACAATTTCACATATTTTCACATATACTAAATGAAAAAATAATCCAATTAACACATGGTGTTAGCAATTTGTCTTAAAATTTGAAATGTGTTACTCTAAGGCTGAGAGGGTTGGACTGAATGATTCAACTTGAATGTTTGTGTCAGATTTATCCTGCTAAGCAAATAAGTAATATTGAATTAGTATAGCAGAGTTAGCCTAGTTTTGAATGGTGCTCCATACATACATTATTGTGTGACATTCATTTGACTAGTACAGATAATTATCATGTTTTTTGAGATAAATCACGGCTTTATTTTAGAGAGACACTCATCTATTTCCTTTGCTCTGGTTTTGTCACTTTCATAAACCAAAATATCATTCCTTAAAGTTGAATTGTGGGCTGTCGACTGCGCCATATTTGTACTTTGTTGTATTGTAATTGTGGGAATTTCTGCTTCTTCAGTATATTTGGTGTATGTTGAAAATTCTTCTATAGTATAAAAGCATTAAAAGATTTTCTATTTAATAAACAAAATCCTTTACTTTGGATAAACTATATCAAGATAGCAAAAAACTTTTTAAGCATATATAATGACCTTGAAAAGATTGACCTCTTTGACCTAATTACCACTCAACCAAAAAAATGCAATTCAAGCAAACATAAGATTATTGAAAATGTATTAAAATTTTGGGAAAAGAACAGAAATTTACTGAGAAATACTGTAATTCATTTACTTCAAAAACATTTACATTTTGAATTTCCTGCCAATGACATTGCCAAAAGATGGATTTCAGAGTTTTTCTGCATCATTTTAGAATCTTCAAAAGAGGATTTTAAAATAAATTTGCTTGGATTTCTTGGAACGAGACTGGACTATTTTCACCATCATATTATTATGGTTATAGTTGAAATTGGTAATGGAAAGAAGGATGAAAAATTTGCTAAATCTATAAAAATATGGTCAGCCATTTTGGAAAGATATAAACAACTTGAAACAATGAAAGCTAATGGAGAGAATAAAACAAAAATTGTATCATTTGTTGAAAGTCAATTAGAAAATATATTAAAATCATTTGGAGAGAAATGGACATCAGCATTGAATCCATTTAATAGTTATATGTTCTCTTTTGACTATAGCTTCTCAGATTCATATTTTATAACAAAAGTGGCACATTCTCTTGTAAAAGCCAATAATGCTGATGAATTTAATTCTGAAATGAATTTCAGTCACTACGCAGCTAAAGATAGTCAATTTGTATTCACTATTCTTGAAAATCTAGTTAAACATGATTTAGGAAAAATATGGAATGCTGCAAATGAATTTGAAAATCTTATTATTCAATTTAATCATACAAAAGTAATGAAGAATTTAATTGAAGTGCATTAGAAGTCTTTTTAAAATTATTACAAATTACTTGGCTTAGTAGTGTACAACTTTTTATATATTTGATATTTATACTATTATGCTACTATATACCACTTATTCAAAAACCTATGCCAGAAATACAATTAATCATCATTTGGCCAAACTCAGACCTTGCCTGGTCATATTTTAGGTTCATGTTTAAGTGCAACTTAAGGTTTGGCCAAGTTGTGATTGATGAGCTTGTTTAGGGTTTGGCCAAGTTAAGATTAATGAGCTTGTTTAGCATTTGGCCAAAGTATGAATAATTAGCTTTATCATCTGTTCAACTTTGTAACATATTGTTCCTAGACCACCTACAGTGAAGTAGTGATTGGATATTGGAGACAAACCTGCAATTATATAAACCCTAACTGTTTTACTCTAACTGTCTTACCTTGAACTGGAAAGATCAACTGGAGGCAACCACTGGGACAAACCTTATACCCTTTCAACAATGGACATTAGTTTGGTAATTTGGCAACCTGCTATTACAAACTGTCTAATCTGCTATTGATCTTTTATGTTGTTACCAGCTAAAGTAGTTTATTTCAAGTAAACCATTTAAATTAAACACTTTGTTTAAAGATTCGAGTAGAACCAGCACTGTTGTAACTTGCAAATGCATAAATTTGCCAAGCAAGAGTGGTAAAGTAGTCTCTGTTTAATCTAATCTTAGCAACATTGGTTACATATTCTGTGAATGGAAGAAATTAGGTCATGTCATTTTCAGAGTAAATAGGAATCAAAATTTAGTAATAATAAATTTCTACGTCCAAACAAAAGCCAAGGTCAAAATCAATTCTATTCCATTCATGAAAAAGAATGAACAAAAGTTGAAAGCAGTTAAATACTTTAATTTCAATGTAAAACTTGTTTACTCAATTTTCAGGTTGTTCATATGGTTCTCTAACTTAAAGTAACAACATATTTTTATTACATCAAAAAGTGATTAAATTATTGAAAAATTAACTAAAGTAGCATAAAATGTCAATCATCATTCAAATGTTAGTTCAAACAACAGCATGTGCTCATTATTAAAAGGTGAAAGTATTAAAAAAGTATTTTTGTTGTTTATTGCTATTGTTGAAAAATTGACTTATACAGTAAATAAAGAAAAGGTTAATAGTTGATTGAAATTTGCTTACAAATGAAAAATCAGCAAAAATGAAATTTTCAGTATAAAAGCAAGTTGTTATTTAAGAAAGTTATACTCTGTGAAAAGAGTTTCTTTTGCTGTTTAAAAGTTGATCATGAAGTTGACTATACAAATATTTTGTTTAATAAGCTTTGCATACTGTTTTATGGTTTATGGAGAAAACGTCCACAAGAGAAAATGTCCACAACTGAGGAGAAAACATCCACAAGAGAAAATGTTCACAGGAGAAAACGTCCACAAGAAAAAAACGTCTACAGGAGAAAACATCCACAACTGAGGAGAAAATGTCCATAGTGTACAACTTTGGTTATATTTTACATGCTTGAACTCTATTATTTTATGCAACATATACATGTACATCTTAAAACCTACGCAAGAAAATGCTATAACATTGGCCAAACATAAGTCTGATTAGTCAGCTTGAAGGTTCATCTTTAATTACCAATAAAGGTTTGGCCAAGTTATAATTTAATTAACTTGCCTAGGGTGTGGCCAAGTTATAATTCAATTAACCTTCCTAAATGTTGAACCTTGTAACATCCTGTTACTAAAGATAAATATGAACTACACATTTCGGCAACTGTAAAGTGATGATTGGATGTCAGAGACAAACCTCAAAGTATATAAATCCTCATTATTCTCATTTGGCATGCAGCTTCCATCTGGACCCAAGGACCTGGGAAAATCATCTGGAAACAACCTCCACTGGAACCATCCATCTACTCCTCAACATTGGAAGACAGTTTGGTAATTTGGCAACCTGCTATTACAAACTATCTACTCTGCTATTGAACTCTCATATTGTTACTTGCTTAAGTATTATTATTGCGAATAAACCATTTTAATTTAAACATTTGTTTAAAGGTTCGAGTAGAACCAGTATTGTTATAACTTGCAAACGCATAGATTTTGCCAGCAAGAGCAGTACAATAGTGAAAGAGAATTTTTCTTTTTAAAACCTTTGGAGATTAAGATGAAAAGGAAAATTGAGAGAATAAATATATAATTTGTATTTATGATATTTTGATATGTTGAAAACAAAAACTAATAACTACAAAACAAACTGCAAAAAAATTATAAAAGACTAAGTTTATAACATGGTAACAAGCTAAATGAATGAGTTATGATGCAATATAAATGCTGGCTGCCTTTTCCAATAAATCTGATGCAGATATTAATCTGACCTCAAATTGCTCCCATAAGCCAAAGATCTGACTTTGAATTTTCTGATAAGGCTTTCTAAAAATTTCTAAGTTTTTTGTAACCAGCTAAAGTTGTTCATGATGTAATATAAATGCTTGCTGCCTTTTCTAATAACTCTGATGCAGATACTGATCTAACTTCAAATTGCTCCCATATACCAAAAATCTGACTTTGAATTTTCTGATATGGTTTTCTTTGCTGTCTACAGATCTTTCTCTCACTTAATAATTTTTTGTAAAGTGTAATCAACTCTGCTTCTCTCTTTAATTCATCAATGATCACATACAATGAGGAGTTTGCATGAATATTCCTATTAAATCTGTTGTGCCATCCTTCCAGATCATTGTTGGTTCTGATTGCTTCACCATATATAGACCAAGTGTGTGGTGGGTAATATCCATGTAACCACTGGTTCTTCATGTAATCAATAAATGGTCCTAAATGTGTTGAAGTGGTCTGCTCCATGTTTTTAAATGCACTCTCAATGATGTTTGATGGTAGAAATGGTAATGCCATAATTTTTTTCATGGTATGATAGCTCTCTCCTTTTGCTTTATATTCACAGGAGTAGCCCAATTCCTATAATTAAAATATATATTCATATTTTCATGGTGAATGATTACAAGGATTACCTGAATTTTTCTATGCACTGATTGGGTCCAGTGAAGGACACATCCTTTAATTGTAACATCAGGATAAACAGATGACAAAGCTCTCCAGATACCCTTTTCAAAATCAACAACAAATTTCATTGGTATATGTTGATTGGTCTGCTCCTTTATTGACTGTTTTAACATTTTTAATATTTTGTTTTTGCAAATTGAAAAGCATTTACCTGAAATAATTTCTTATAAGCTGTCTTTTTCTTGGAGGCCATAAATGCAAACAGTAAGGGAACTTGTTTCATTTCTCCATGTTTTTTAATGAATCCATGAACAGTGAACAATTGGTAAAATGGATCTCTAACACATTTGAATGTACCATCGAAAAAACCATATCTTTCCCTTTGACAAAAGCTCAATTTGTTTTGGAGTTGAAAATATTATTATCCTGTCATCTTTCATTTTAATATCTTTCACCAAAAAATTATGAGGTATAAATGATAAATCAAAATTTGAGTGGACATCTGTTGGCTCTGCTGGCTGAAATCTCCTTTTTGTCCAATTTGCTAATCTGGCACAATTATCCATTGATGGAATAGCATTTTCAGAGTCACAGTGATGTTTTAATACTTTTTCCAGAAAAGAAAGTTTCAGTTTCACACAATTTTTTAATTTCTTTTCTAATTGTAATTTTCTTTTCCAGTCCATCTTCTCTTTTATGGGAATGAGGTTTTTTCCAGGATAAAAATGATCTTCCAATTGATTACACTTGACATTTGTTGTTCTTGTTTCTTACACTGCATGTCCAGAATGTTTTTGTTAATCTTTTCATCTTTATTGTAAATATATAACCATCATAAGCTAAAAGATCTTGGCCTTTTTGACTCATTCCTTTCAAAACTTTGAAAGTTGGCTCCATATCCACTTTTTTTGATGTTGGAGAATTTTGGAAAGAAGTTTCCATCACATTATTTGAATTATATGAAAGATTTTCTGTTGTTATTTCAATGTTACACCCAATCATTACTTCTGTATAATTGTTTTCAACAATAACATAATTATCTTCCACAACATCATTTTGTTTTCCATTTTTTTCAACATCTGAACCATTATTAACAACATCATTCTCAGTTATAGCATCAGTGCTTACTTGTTCATCTGTTATCTCAACTCCTTTTTCCAATACAGAATCCATTCTTTTGATTTGGTTGATAGACAGATGTTGTAATGTGACCAAACATGTTCTCTTGGAAATGTCTTGGCAAATGTTGCAAAGAAACAGATCATTTCCTGTTTAATGCAATTATCATATAGAATAATACCATTTGTTAAAAATTGAATTAAAACTTACCTTTAATACATTTCTTATGAATCATTATCAAATGGTGGCATAATTGACATTTTTCTTTATTCTGTCTTCCAAGCATTTTTTCCTTGCATTTGTAGCAATATCCCATTATCTATCAACAAGAAGTGAAAGTTATCAAAAATGGTTGCTCAAAATTTTCAAAAACCTGATTTAGTTAATGATAAACTCACCTTAAGTTGATAAAAATGTAAAAGATCTATCCAAAGATATTCAAATTTTTCTATTTTTCCTATGTTTTGTAATTAAACTTAGTAAATATCTTTTACAGATAGTATTTTAACAAAACTATTTTTTTTGAAAGGAACCAAAAACAGGAAAACATAAACAGGAAATAGTTCCTCAACAAAATGGCGGATCTATCATTGCATAATTTTTATAATCTCAATAACAATATTTAAACCTTTTTATCTATACCAAATATTAATCTCTAAACCATTGTTCATATAAAAAATTAGTCTTGATGTTTTTTCCTAAGTTATGGAAGTTTTCTCCTGTGGACATTTGCTTTTGTGGATGTTTTCTCGTCATTTGTGGACATTTTCTCCTGTGGGCATTTTCTCTTGTGGATGTTTTCTCCTCATTTGTGGACATTTTCTCCTCATTTGTGGACGTTTTCTCCTGTGGACGTTTTCTCTTGTGGACATTTTCTCCT